GTGCTTTTGAGTGAAATGTCTCAGCAGGTATCCGGTGAATTGCAATAGTTTGGTACACACATTCATGTTCGCCTCAGTACCCTGTAGTCCTTTGTTTAGCTCAGTGTAGAGTTACACTATTTCATTTTCACAAAGATGTTACTGAGGTGAAACTGTTCCTGAAATGCTCACCCACTGACTGATGTTCACCACTTGTGACGACTCTGTTCAAGGTCATTAAGAAAATTCTCTTTCCATTTCCTGGCCTCTGCATTCAATCCTAGTTTGAATTATGAGGGTTTTTTTAAGCTTCTATAAAGCAAAGGCCGGGCTCTGAGTCAACAGACAAACGTTATAAGAGCTTTTAACATATTACATTGCCAGCACTCATGTTACACTTATCAGTAATATTTTAAACGAGGGTAGATTTGGCATAATGGCAGGAAGGCTCATAAAAGGGAGCTGGTCCCCTGTGATTGTAATCTAGGAGAGAGTTCCTGTAAAATTAAACCGTGGTTGTGGGGGGAGAGACAAACATGCCTCTGGGTTCTTTGAAGTGGAGAATCAGAGTCCAAAAAAAGGAATAAAAGATGACAAAATGTCAGTGTGAAGCTGATGGTCTATAGACAGAACTTACGTGCCCAGACAGCAATTACTGAGATACATAGCATACATCAAGACATTGTGTTTGATCTTACTGCTTCATTCTCTCGCACAGACGATGTTTTTCCACGTGAAACTGTGCAGGGCTCTCATTTTTTATGTGTTCATCTCTGTCATCATTTCATTTGAATTAAAAATAATGTGCAGCGAGAGATCCGCACGCCGATTGTTTGGCAGTGTGGCTGTAATCACAGACTTTGCGGTCGCTCTCAAATCTGATAATGACCATTTAAAATGGAGAACAGCGGCTTGTGCACAGTTGCTGTTTCACAGGCCTCGTGAAAATGACTGGTAGCCATTTTCTGTCGGTGGCAGTCATATAAATACATATCTTGAAGCCAGCCATGTCATGCTTTTGAAGCCAAACCACGATATGCTCTTGATGTTTCATCACAATCACCGCTCCAAACACAGGAATCCCTGTGATCTAATTACATGTAACCACAGTTGGTACATTTGCAACTAATTTTAGACGTGATTTACTGCGTTTCTGTTGCATGAGCCGTGGCACCGTACAGCTACATAATGTCACTGGAGTTATCAAAGATGTTTTCCCACAGCCTATAAGCAACAGAGGTTAATCACTTCATTAGTTTGAGTTGCTCAATACACAAAACATACAAGGGTGCATGGCAGGAACCTCAAACTTGAACACATGGTCATGCAGGCTGCTCTTTCTCCCAGGCCCTTGGTGACCACAGCCTTTATCCTCTGTAACTGAACCAAGTGGCTGGACTTTAACCAGCCACCTGAGGCCAATCCCTCCCTCCCCCTCGTGGTGCTTCACTGTTTTTTTCTCCCTCTGCATGTCATCAGTGTATCCTGGAACAGCTATGCCCATTGTAACTTGATGTGGATAAATCATTTTCTGCTAAATGTAAACTTCTCAGTTTAACCACACGGAGCATCTGACTGCAGTTTGGATGAAAGTGCTGTTGTGTCAATGTGTCTGAATCTCATTCAACTGTGTATCCCATTTCCCATGACTTCATGTTTGTATGGGCTGGTCCCAGGCAGCCAAAGGACCCTCGCTCCGTCTGTTACCGAGGGACGGATTAGCATCTCAGCTATGAGCTAAGTCTGTTTTCTGCTCTGCGGTTGCCTGGACTGAACTGGCAGGAAGAGACTTTGCAATGTGACTCTATTGTGCATCTATTGACCTCCCAGCCAGTGGGTTAATGCTCATTAGGCAATGCTATAGGATGGGTTTGCATTATGGGCGGCTGTGGCTCAGAGGTAGAGCAGGTCGTCTACCAATCGGAAAATCAGCAGCTCAATCCCTGGCTCCTCCAGTCCACATGTCGGAGTATCCTTGAGTATCCTTGCTCCCAGTGGCTGCCAACGGAGCCAACAGAGTGAGGGTCCGTTGGCTGGCTTGGACTGGCCTATACACTCAGTCACCAGTGTATGAATGTGAATGTGACTCACAGTTTAAAAAGCGCTTTGAGTGGTCGGAAGACTAGAAAAAGGCAACACGAGTGCAATCCATTACCTTTACTATCACAAGGATCTTCCAGGAATGTCCAGCGTGAGATCAGGATTCGTCTAATGTGAGGAATCGAGGCAAAGAAGTATGAGCGCCGTTGCTTCTCGGGTAAATGCTACTTTCAGGCCTGCAGTGTGAATCTTAACAGGATAGTGTCCCACCTTAAATCTGTGTGATCTCCATAAATACTCTATGGCATCAGTACTGGGAAACGACTGGAAGGCGGCCTCTTCGAGCGAGGTGCTGAGCTCTGCCAGCTCCAGCAGGGCTGTTTTTTGTGACCCTGGGTGGGAAAGCTAAGAAAAAAAAATCCCTCCAGCGCTTGGTAAAGTTATCGCAAAATTATAAACGTGGTAGTCATGATTTATGTCTGCGATGTCAGTGGTTTGTTGGGTTTTAGGTCCGTCAGGGTGGGCCGTGGACAGCTCAAAGCTCAAATTGAAGGCTGAATGACCTAAAGTGCTTTTTATATTACCAGCTGACCTCCCTTCAGGCCAGCAGAGTGGGAGTTGATCCAACAGGAAGACCAGCCTGTGGGCTGCGAGGAGGTGCATGCTGCTCATAAAGGAGCGTTTTGTTTTTCCTCCCCTCACGGTAGCAGCACCCTACTGGGGAATTCATTAGGGGCTGACATCATCTCACTCAGTACAGAGTGAAAGAAAGAATATCTTTCTGCCTCCGCTCTCCCCTCCCTCCCTCCTTTCTCTCCTTCCCTCTCTCTCTCTGCCTCCCTGCCTCCTTATCTAGCTCTGGTGCGCTGCTGTCTCTCCTTTTGCGCGACATTTACGCAAAAGGTAAACGCGCTGATGTGCACCTCTGCAACCGAGCTCCAAGCTTTCCAGAAGCCCCCCAAAAAAACATGAGTGTGTTTGTCTTCTGAAGGCGCACGACTGAGGTTGAATCCAAGTCCGCCTGGAAATCAGGAAGTGGGAGGACCCGATCGTGAAGGCAGCAGCAGCAGCACTCAGGCAGTCAGTCGCTGGATGAATGGGAGTTTGTCTGGTGCTTTGGTAGCGGATGGGGAGAGGCTCTTGTGTGCCCACGACCGGGATCCGTCGGAGAGCGCGCGGCAGCCCGGCTTTGCAGCTGACCACACAGCGACAGCGGGCTCATACCTTGTGAAGTTTTGCTCACCGCTCGTGTGATTTGGCTCCGTCTCTGTCTCTACAGAGGAAACTGGCCGTGCGCTTTTGTTGGATTGGTTCGCTCCGTCGGACGCAGCCCCTCTCTCTCTGCGCACCGACACACAAACCCCTTCCCGGATCCTGTTGGTTACCTGTCACGGATATTTCCGACAGGAGAATATACGTGAAGAAAAAATCACATTGTGTCCCGAGGAAGCAAAGAAAGGTGGATCAAGGGATTTTTTTCTGTCTCTTGTCGCCTCAGTGCTGTTGCAGAAGCTCTCCGTGGCGAGACACATGGCTCCCTTTGTCCAAAAGGCGCAGTAGCTTTGTGAACGGCTTTGGATTTTTTTTTTCTTGGAAAGGCTTCTTCTCTCTCCGCATGGCTGTCCTCAATTTAAACGGAGTAGACTTCGCCGCCTCTTGTGTGGATTATATTATTTGAAAAGCAGAATGTGAAACGAGGCCATATTTACCAGACCGAGAAAGTAATATCCTGACTTATTTGCCTCCTCGCTAACCTTGCCACATCAAAGGTATGCGCTCTGGCTCTGAGCCGCTTCTAATCTTAGATTTCATTGTGTGTGATAGTGTGCAAAATGCTCTGAGAGGATTTCTTTATAATGGGAACCATTTTCATGCCGCCGCTTCTGCTGTCATTTGTTCTGCAGCTTTCATTGTTTACATTCTGTCAGTGTTGCATTAGTGAATGAATGCCTGATTCACAACAAGGTTTTATTTCTAACAATAAAACGGCACTAATGCACATGTCCATTAGCACTTTTTAAATTCAGGTTTTGCTGTGAGAACACTTCGCGTCTCCTGCAGCCTTAATAACACACATACACAGGGATAAAAGACATAGCTGTCACTGGATTTTATTTTTTAAACACCCCTGTCATTCATACAACCCTGCAGTCAAAGTGCAGTGCATTAACATGTTATTTTTGTTGCTCGGAATTTAGCATTAAATAAATCCGAGGCGAGGAAATCCACAAAGCCAGTTATCAGAATTATTCAGAGAAACCTGTCTGTCAGTCTTCTCCCCATGTGCAGCTCCAGCGGGTGTTGTCCTGTTTCTCTCCCTGTCCTTCCAACCTGTGGTTACTTTCTAATATGATAATATTTCACCTACATGTCCGGGTTTAAATATAATTATTCTGTGACTTGGGTTTTTTTCACCTACATAAGCCTTTTATTATAATTCAGGGTTAAATCCCATCACTGCATATTTTATTCCAGCACAGGGATGCTGTTGGCGCTGAGCTGGGGAGGCTCGGTGAAGGGATGGAGGTGTTTTGTCGCGGAGCAACAGTGCCACCAAGTGGCGTGAATGTGCAGAGCCACTTGTTTTGTTTCAGTCTGTTATCCAATATTGGTTTTGATCATGATTCTCAGGTTACACAAATAATTACAGACATCATTTTTGGGCATGACAGGATGTTGGATATTGGATATGTCTTGGTTTATTTTGGATTAAATTTGACCCTGATTATGGTTAAAATTAAACCATCTATCGAGCACACATTGTCAGAGATATATATTAAAACCACAATAAATGTTAATGTGGTGAATTCAGAATTAAAGTTGACATTAAAATGAGTATGGTGCTCTGAGCGTATGCTCTCGCTCAGCAGTTTTTGCTCTACGCTGTCCCCTAAAATCCTATCTACAAGCGGGTTTGGACATTTTGGTGGAAAAAGAATGATACAGCGATATTTTTCTAATTCCACTCTCCTCTTTTCCAGGTCTCCGATGCCAGCTCAGAGAAATTTTTCAGCACAGCTGCAGTTAAAGGTACAGACATTTTATTTTTCCCACCCCGCTGAAATGTTGTCACTATGAAGGTGCAGGTGTTTTGCCATTCCTGGTGTTATTATTACCATGTTGAAACTGGATTGCATTGTCCCAGCACAGCGACTGTTGTATTTATGCATTGTCATTTAAGATAACACATCACATTCATAAAGCTGATCTAATTTACCCGAGGTGCACAGGTATGAAACGCAGCTCAGTGCTTTCTCGACACCGATAAGATGAAAATCTCTCAGTGCCTTTATTTCATCAGGTGAAATCATTAAAATGTGAAAAGCCAAAAGGTCATGTTGGAGTTACATGTATGTAACACGTGTGCGCTTTTGGTGACACTTTGTTGCAAATGTGCTGAGATGCACCAGGACTTGTACGGCAGCCAGAGGAGGAGGAGGATGTACTAACTAATGCTGCGGGGAATGAAGTAAGGGCAGGAGAGGCATCTGTTTATGGCCTCAGTGTGCCAACACCACATGTGACCTCATTATCAAGTCACTAATTTGCTGTTAAAAGCAACCCCATTTTCTCCAGCGCAGGGATAATGGAGGTGCCCCGCGTGAAAGGACATTCCTCTGTAATGGGGGGGAGTTACCATGCAGGGCAGAAGGGAGGCTCTGAGACGAGGGTTATGACCCCTTCAGGGCTGTGGCAAGAACGGGGATGATTGCTGATGATAGGGTCTTGCACACCGCCCCCTCCTCTTCCTCGTAGCCCTCCACTTTCCGCTGCGCAGACCTCCAAACACATTCCCACATTCTGGCCTTTGATTCCCTCCAGGGCTTGATTTGTGGCGTCCATTGGGGGGGTTCAATGGCCATGCTTGACAGGGAGGTTTCCTTTTGAACGTGCTTCTCTGTGGACTGATTTGGTTCCCTTGAAAGGATTAAGGCCCCCTTTGTGCAGCCTAAATCAACAGAGGGCCCCCCTCTCTCCCCCTCTATGAAAGGACCTGACCAGGGAAACAGTACACAAAATACGCTTTCTCTCTGCTGCATGATAGTCCACTCTCTTGGCCCCTTTTCCCATTTAAATATCCCCTCTTTTCTTTACCCTTTTACCACCTCCGTCCCCTCCTCCTCTCCTGCCATATGCTAATGTCTGCCGCTGTTGCAAAAGGCCAGTAAAAGAATCCAGGTGCAGGGAGAGCCAGGACTGCTGGTATTTTTATGGCGGGTGGTGTTTAGATTAAAAGAGTCGGCTGAGTTTTTGTTGGAGGGGATTACCATTACTCTAATGCAACCAAACCGCGGCACAAGCAGCGCCGACAAATATGGCGAGAGAGGTTCGTTTGTGGGAGGACAAGTGTCAATATTTGCCAATAGGCAGGTGCAAAATGACTCCATTTGTTTGACTGTGCGTGCGGTGTGTTGTTGATACATATAAAGTGCTCATTGGGCTGTAAGGTTCAGCGCACGGCTGAGAAAGCATGGATAGGCCAAGATAGTAAAAACGGCTTCCAAAAAAGCAACAGCTAGTTTATTATGTTGAGTTATATGGTTAAGAAATAGTTACGGTTGCTGATCACATAAGTGAAACTACAACCATGATGCTGCAGAGTCAAATAATTGATGAGTTGTCAACTAAATCGCCAACTAATTTGATAATCGATTAGTCGGTTTGGGTCATTTTTAAGGGAAAAAAGTCAGACACTTTCTGATTTCAGCTTATTCAATGTGAATATTTTTTACTCCTCTGTGACATTGAAGTGAATATCTTGGTGTTTACCTTTTTTTGTTTTTTGACATTTTATGGACCAAACAGCTCATGAATGAATCGCTGATTGTTGACTTGCAAGTGTTGAAATATGTAGACAGCAGTGCAAGAATACATCAGAGGTGCAAAAATGCTAAATATTAAATGCTGGAAAAATGTATTTTGGTGCCTAAATCAAGCTTTGTTTATACTACAAAATAACTTCATATTTTTATGACAGAATGTATATTATTCTTGGTATATGGGCTTAAATGTTATCTCGACTCAGTGCCATTATTGTTAACGACATTGTGACTGATTGGAACAAAGGTAAGACCCATGAATATACCTTAAACCAAAAGAGCACTGAGAAGGCCATTGTAATTCAGCTGCTGATGTGTAGCTGTGGTAATGACTGACTGTTGGCTTTTATTCTCTGCCGCAAGACTGGAAATCAGCCCAAGGCAACCTCAGGTGTCTTTGAAGACTTAGTGCTGGTCCCTCATCTTTTAATCTCACAGCCTTCTCACCTACTCAATAATTTCAGTGTATTTTTCATGCTCTCACAAAAGCCATAATGTTTTTTTTTTCTTTCTGCCCGAGGCCTACACTGCATTTTAAAAAGAAAACCCAACTGATGAGAATGTGGCTTTTGTGTTCTCAGACGTTGATTTGTTTTCTTCCCCTCTTGTGTCGGCGTCACCTCGGGGCCGCCGGTGTCAACTGTGCATAGTTGTCTAATGTGCAGCTTAAAGTCGCCATCACTCTCTGCGTGCCTCGCCGTTTTTCTCCCTCCTTCCTGCTCGCTCCGAGTTCAGTTTGCCCAGGAATGGATTTCATTAACTAAGAGTCATTAAATGTTAGCTCTAATTACCGCCGTCGTCAATGTGCCTGCAGGTGTCAGCTAGCTAACCTGATTCATTTGCTCTGCAGGAGAGTAAGCACCAGTCAAAAAGATGTGGTGTAGTCTATTTGCCACCAGTGAAATAAACAACTTTTCTAAAGTCTGAGCTGCTTCCAAGGCGCCGTGGGTGGAAATCGGTAACCAAGCCTTATTAAGGCTGTGACTGCTGTCCAGGGAGTGGATTGAAGTGCTGGGTTGCACAGATACTGATGATGACAGACCAGCACAGCATGTCACCACAGAGGCCTGCAGACAGATCTATCAAATGATTAAAGCTGTGTCCCAGGGCAGTAATATCTTGTCACCCGGTTACATTCCCATCCTTTATGATATTGTCAATCCACAAGCCGTCCCAGAGACTCAGCTAAGTCACTGGAGAGCAGAGATTAAGCTCAGTGCGCATTGTTTGTCAAGCGCAGCCCCAGCAGTAAGATTAAGATAATGCTGGATGACATTTAAAAAGCTCCGTAGAGCCATGTTCTCATCAGTGAACTGTTGAGTCTGGTTTGTTGATTTTTTTTATTTTTGTTTTTTAGAATACAAAATATGTTTTGGACTAAAGCTAAAACACAAGACAATGGAAAATAGAGGGATGGTGTAATCTTAAGGGTTTAAGGGCAAAAATGGATTATAAGTATGTTTCTTTAGTTTATAATCACCTGAAAATAAGAACTGTCTCCTTGGAATGAGCCAATTATATCAACGTAGAGAGCGGGTCCTTGTCCATGAAGTCCGCCATGTTGCACCACCATGTTTCTACAGTAGCCCAGAGTGGACAAACCAAACACTTGTTCTAGATAGGGCCTTTCACGTTTTAATGGCAGCCACCATCGTTAGGAGCCCCTCTGCAACAAGCCAAACAGCATCAGAAAAACAATGATTTGTAATGTGAAATTGCTTTATTTAGTGTTTTACTGGTTTATATCACCTGGTCTGTTTGTTTTTTGGAGAGAAAGAGACCTCTGCAGATAATTTGGCTCCAGGTAGAAACCTCCTCAAAGTCTGGATTTAAAATTATAAGAGAAAAAGGTAAGCATACATTAGTAGGTGCTGGGCTAAAGGCCTGTCTGCAACAAGCCGAACAGCATTGGAGAAACACTGAATTTAAATGTGAAACTGCTTTGTTTTGTGTTTTGAGCAATTTTAATCACTTGATCTGTTTGTTATTGAGAGGAAGAGAATCCTGTGTATAATTAGGCTCCTCTTAGAAACTTCCTGAAGGTCTGGATTTGAAATTATCGGAGAAAAAAGATGAGCACACGTTAGTAGGTGTTAGACTAGGGGTTCTTCTGCAATGAGCCGAACAGCAGCGGAGAAACACTGAATTTTAATGTGAAACTGCTTTATTCAGTGTTTTACCAGTTTAAATCACCTGATGTGTTTGTTTTGGAGAGGAAGAGAACTCTGTGGATAATTCGGCTCTTGGTAAAAACCTCCTGAATAATAAACTCACCGCTAGATGCCACTAAATCCTACACACTGCTCCTTTTTAATTCCCTTTTACCTGCGCATACATTTTCAAATTCACACCTTCCTCGTGTGATTTTTCTGTTTAAAGCTGCAGCATAGCACTTAAGCTTTGCATTTGGTAGACATATTGTGGAGAAGCTAGTCCCCCATGAGACATCTCCTGCAGCTGTGTCTACGATGTGAGACCGAGTTCAGTGTGGGGGTGAATTGAAGTGCACAGTGTAGTGATTCCCCCCCTCCCTCAGCACAACGTTGATTTCACCATGCTTTACTGGAGTTAATGTGAAAATGAAGCGGTGCTACAGCGAGACCCGGGGCTGACGCCAGCGTGAAGAGCGCCGCTGGTGAAGTGTGTCGGGCTTGAGTGCGTCTGTCACCAGGGGAGAGAATAATGCGCGATGTGGAAGGTGTAATTTGCAGCGCTGATGGCATTGTTTAAAAAAATAGTGGAAAGAGAAAAGCGGAGGTGAACTTTTGTGGCAGATATCAGAGCTGAAGAGCTCCCTGGATTGTCATAGAGAGCTCTGCTGGCAGCAAAATTGCCTGTGAGCGTATTACTGCTGTGTGGGAGGGAGCTAAGGGCTTGTTTTTCTCTCTCTGCCTCATTCTCTCTCTGTTTCCTGAGAGCTGGACTGGTGATGGAGCAGTGTGTACTTCCAGGCTGTGGGCCGCCACCTGCTGTAATCTCAAGTGATATAGAGAGCAACAATCACGCCACAAATCACCCGAGCAGCTCCCTAACTCATTCAGCGGACTGGAAAGAGAAGGTTGGCCTTTCACAGCGGCAGTGTTGGTTTACTGCCCCAGGCTCCCTGCGCTGCCCTCGTGCTGACCTCTGCCGTCTGTGTGGGTTTGTGTGTCAAGGAATCAGGGCTGCCTGTGGAACTTGACCTGATGCGCAGTGGAAAGATGACCTGAC